AAAGAGTTACGACTGTAACCCTCAGTTTAACCCCGACTCCACAATTTGGAGTCCCACCCCCACAGGGTTTAATAAATGTCCACCCGGCACATGTAACCTTTGATCATGGGATCTGTATTCTACCAAAATGTGATGTGCATAGGCCACACGGCAGATGGATTTGGGAAGCAGAACTATTTAATCTTGGGAGAATTCTCAAACTGTCAGTGAGAAACACAATAGCAAATCTGACAGTTATAAAAACAAAGGACTGATGGATAAGGGCCAGACCGTCTGAGAGAGGGGGCCAAGTAAGATGGGAAGGAAAACCAAACATAAGAGGTCTTGATTTTTTGCAAGTTTGCTTAAGTGGTTGCTTCCTGCCTGAGCAAAGAAGCGGACAAGACCCAGAGGCTTCATGAAACCTTTCATGCTCACCTGACAGCCTCCATTTGGTGGCAGCAAAGAAGATGGTGACATTCTGGCTGGATTTGTATGACCTCTGAAGTCTAAAAGCCTGGGCCAACAGTCCTGTGCCCACATCCATCCTCATCTCCTCCAGCTCCTGAACAAAGGTTTGACCCTGACATCATCCAAGCCCCGAGAGGAGCCAATCTAGAGTTTAAAGATACTGGACTTTGTAATCTATGTTGACACAAGTAAAAGGGCAATACATGCACACTTGTGACCTGGCTTAGTATGTCATGTGACCACAATTTCCATCTGTCCGCTCAAAGAGCAGCTCCATAGGAGGTCTTCACATCCGGATCTCTTTTCCATTGCACTCCATCATCAGAATGGCTCTGTAGATTCTTTTCCTTTCCTCTCCCTCCCCATCCTTTTCTTCCTGTTGGGTCCTGGGCTGTTGGGACTGTGCAGGTAATGCCTTGTTTTTAAGTGAAGTTCCATCTTGAGCACCTTCAGCTGAACGTTGTGCTTAAAATGGTTGGATTTTTTTTTTGAAAAGGCAGGCTTTTAAAAACTTTTTTTTTCAGTCTGTGGAACCTGTTAGCTGATAGATACGGTATAGGTATTCGGGATCCTCTGAACTAGTGTTAGAAAAAAGCTCTAGAATTAGAAAAATGGCTCACTGAACCCCCTCAGGTTTTGCAGAACCTTAGACCCAGGTCATGAAAAAGGGGAGAAAGACCCTTGAGCACATGGGGTCAGGGATGGGGCCAACAGCCCCAACTCCTCCCCCCTTTTCCCAATGTTCTTCTGCATACAGATGTAAAGATAGACACTGGATGGTTTTGAAAGATCCCTGTGCTTAAAATGCTGATCATAACAAAGGAACAGGGTGGAGGAGAGTTTACTATTCTTGACATTCCTTTCTCCTCCAGGCCCCTTGCACCGTGGGGTTAACAGGAAAGACAGCTTGCATGACTAGAAAGGATTGTGATGAGGGACACAAGTATATATTTGAGTCTGCACTTAATGATTTGAACCAATGTTTTAAAAAGCACTGTGGGTTTAAAACAGAACCCAGAGTGAAATAACTTCAGATATTTAGCCAAAGGGGCAGATCTGTTATTAAACTATCCATCAACCTATCTATCCATTTGCAAAGTCTGAGCCAGAGTTGAATAATGATTATAATCTATTAGGTATTTGCTGTAGTTGCAAATAGACAAATGGGAGGATTAAGTTAAAAGAAGACTGCAAATATTTTCAGAAACGTGGAGTTTTAGGCAGCAAGACTGGCATTTTTGGCAAACATTTTCTTAAGAGAAGGAGGACTGGCTGTGTTCATGTAACACATACAATACACTGAACTGTAGAAGTGTGTGGGTTGAGTTTGCATAACACGTCAGACTAAAACTTGCATGGCTAGCTTATAAGTGTATTATGTGATCCCAGGCAGGACTGAGTTTGTGACTGAACCGCTGCAGTGTTGCCTTTCTTAACAACAAGCTACAATTCCAAGAACTCCTAAAACTTCAAGTTAGGGAAGAAAGTCTTGACTTCCTCCATGATCTCTTTAGCCTGCTTATCCCTATTCAATCTAGAATCATGATTTTGGGTTCTGCATGGGTCTTTGACCCTTTCCTAGGGAGTGACATGGGCAAAAGGGAATGAATTTTGTCCCCACGTCCTTTCCACTCCCCTGTCTGTGGAAGTGTCTTCTTCTCCCATCATACTTTGTCCCATTCAGAACCAAACATGATTATCTTGTCTCCGATATTCCCTTTTATTCCCTCCCCCCAAATCTGCTATTCCTTGCTTCCCTTTCTATATCACCTGACTTTTT